TGTGTGTGTGTGTGTGTGTGTGTGTGTGTGTGTGTGTGTGTTCTCTCACAGGAGACAAAGATTGACTGCGTCCGTGTGGCCACTAAAGGTAATGCAATCTTGACTTTTATTTTGGTAGCTTCCAAATGTGTTTGTGGATTGAAACCAAAACCAAAAGTTTCAAAGCAGGCTTCATGGGGGTGTGGGGGGGGCAAAGACAAAGACTAATGTTGTCCTTCACGTATCCTCAGTCACACACACATGCAAGCGCCTCCATGGATGCTATGCGAGCACAATGCTAATGACCGGCACTCGATGAATGTCGAGGGAGGCATTTGGCTGAGCAGATAAACACGCTAAAAAGTCTGATTTCCCTGATGATGGACAGACAGATGCATGCGCGCGCACACACACACACACACACACACACGGCACTTGACTATTGTACCTTTAATCAGTTTTTATTGGTGCACAGTTGTGGCGTTTAATGACACTGGAAGCTGATTGGGTGAAGCTCCCCTGGCAGCTGTCAGTCACACTGCAGCAGCCAACCAGCCGAGCATGTCAATTTGCTTGGACTGTGGGGGACTTGGCATGTATTGCGCAATCACCAGGGAGTACACGCGCACACACACACACACACACATATCCCGAGGATTTTTTTCCCCCGTTACCTTTGTAGCTCAAGACGCTAACAGAGGCGCGCGCCCAACGTCCCTTGCTTTGCTTTCTTGGGTCCGGTTTCAATCCTAACAATTTTTGGGCTCTGGTTTGATCAGTCGGGTCCAAATAGCCCCCACGTCAACCGTGTGCCCGCGTTGGCAATCGCTGCCGATGGCAACCGAGGGGGGCAAGCAAACGGCCTTCGGCCCTCGGCTCGACTGGACCACTGCCGGCAAGTTGAACAAATCCGCCAAAGTGTCGCTCGCGTTTTCCAGCCGATGACAGCGGACGGGTTCCAAAAAGAAAGTGTTCCCAGAGGTCTGCGAAGGCGGAGCCACATCTCGGGAGCCATTGCCAACGCGGGCTCGGCGTTCCCGCGGCGGACGGCCGAGGGAGGGAGCGCCGCGATGGTGGCGCCACCATCGGGACGTTTTGTGCATGCCTTAACCCTTTGCGCCGCCTTTGCATGCTCCTTCCTTCCTTCTTTCTTTCCTTCCTTCCTTCTTTCCTCGCAGCCGCTATCATCAGCACTCAGCTCAGCACGCCGCACGCCGCCCTGGGCTTCGGCCCCCGAGGCCCCGGCGCCGCCGGCGACAAGCGATTAGCAGGTCAGACGTTGCCCGCTCAAGGCACGCGCACGCGCGCTGGAGACCCCTGTTGCCGCCGCCGGTCGCCCCCGCTGTCGCGAGCCCACGCGTCCGCCGAGTGTACTCATCCCCTCCGAGTCCTCGATTCAGCGCGCGAGGAGAAAAACCGCACGCGGCTCGCGTCGAAAACCTGTTTTGTCGATGACAAGCGCGTGCCCCTCATTGAATTGGAACCCTTCGCCCGAATGGTCTCGCGGGCGAGCGAGGTCAGAGCGCAAAGTCGCGCGCAGACCATCGGGCACGCAGGTCACACGCTCGCGGCGCGCACCCGTCACCAAATCCACACCGGGCGCTGTCGAACGCTCGGCTGCCCGGAGTGGATTTGGCGCGGAGCGGAGCGTCGCATCGCGCCATCCGATGACGGCGTTTCGGTCCCGCTGGCTTTGTTTGGATTTGATGGCATCGCGGCGAGCAAAAACAAAGTAGTGGCAAGGAGGGCCGCTTTCTCAAACCCGGTGAGGACGACGCCGTCGCTTTCCGTCCGTTGCTGCCGAGTGGCCATCTTGCAGCTGCCGCGCTCGCTTTACGGCGTCACCGACGGGACCCGTGACGATTCCGCGACGGCCCGATCGCCTTCCTCGCTTTGGGCGGACGGGCGGCCGTCATCGAACCGGCCAAGCCCGCGCGCCCAAAAGCAACTTGAAATGGAGCGGCAGACGTTTTGGTGTTCGGATTTGCTCCTTTTGCAAATGTCCTCTCAGTTCAAGTTGGGAAAAAAGAAAAAAAAAACACCCGAAAAAGTTTCACGTCGCGAACACATCGCAAAGTCGTTTTGGATTTGATTGGATTTTCTTTGGGCAACGGTGATGCCGATGGGTCTGCGCCCCGGCGTGCGCTTTCCAGTGTCTTGCTGATTGCGAAGTCGTGCTGCGGCGCGAATAAGACGACTGGTCGGAGCGCTCACGAGTGTGCGCGTGCGCTTTCAGGCGCGGCCACCAAAAAGCCCGAACCGGATCACGAGAAACAATCGGACCACACGGTGAAGATCGCCGGCGCCGTGGCCGGCGTCTTGCTCTTCATCATCATCTTCCTCGGGCTCGTCCTCCTCATGAAAAAACGGTAAGCGGCACGACACAACGGGGGCGCCGGCCTCACGACACAACGGGTCACTCACCCGTGGGCGCGTGCGCACGTGTGTGTGAGAGACGAAGTTCGGGATGACTCATGGAATCGAAGTCCCCACGAAGCGCCGCGCTGGCTTGATGTGTGTTTGGAGAGGCCGAAGGTGAGAGGGAAATGTCGACTTTTCTCCCTCTCTCGTGGACTCGAGTTCGCGGTTCGGCTCGCGGCCGTTTCCGCGCGGAGCCGCCCGCGTATAGAGGGCTGCGTCCTTTTAGCGATTACCCACAATGCACTACCGGCGGCCATATTGGAGGGCTGTTATAAACAAGCCATACACGAATAGACCTCGTGTATGGCTTGTTTATGACAGCCCTCCAATATGGCCGCCGGTAGTGCATTATGGGTAATAGCTAAAAGGACGCAGCCCTCTATTCCCATTGACTCGATTTTTCCATCCAAACACCTCAACGGAAATGGAAAGGTTGAATCCCGACGGGATTTTCAGTGGGACTCTCTTCCCTTTGGCCGATCCGAACGAGCGCCGCGCCGGCGCCGGGCCGTTCCGTCGGAAGAGCCAAATTGCGTCCGGTTTGCGCACGCGCCGCCTCAACGCCGCGTAGGCGTCGTGACGGCGTCGCCTACGCGGCGTCTCTGCTTCCAGAGCTGGTCTGGCAGTGCTCCGAACTCGTTTTCACCAAGACGTCGCTTTGATCAAAGTGTTCAAATATTCACGGCGACTGCGCTCAAAAGACGAAATGGCTCCACCTTGATAAATGGCGCCATGCTCACACGGATCTCCGCTCGTCTCTGTCAACGGCGGATGGGAAAAGATCTCCTCGCGGAAATCTTCTTTCGGAATCATTTCATTCATTTCGAGTAAAAATCCAAAAAAAAAAAAAAAGGCTCCCTGTCTGCGTGCGTGCGGGTGAGATCTGAGGAAGGCGTGGGCGCTCGTTGGCGTTGCCATTTACGCTCTGCGAGCGCACGTCGCTGTCGGTCAAGTCAAACTCGTCACAAGCTGTTGATTTTCACTTGAGTTTTTCTTTTGTTGTTGTCATTTTGTCTCCCATCAAGGTGACTTTTGTTTGTCGGGTCCTTCTCAAACTGGACTCAATGAGCACGATTCCTCTTTAGCTTCATTTGTAGGATCACATTTGCGAGCGTGTAGCCTTTGAGCCAGTGTTTTGATGTTTGTTGTCAAAGAAAGAGGGAAATGTTTGTTTTGATTTCAAAAAAAAAGGAAAACATTTTTATGGGCGATTGAAAGCGCACAAGACATGAGGGGGCGGGGTCAGCAGCTCGCCTCGGGGAGGCCATGCACACATGCGCGCAGGTCTTTTCATTTTAAAAGCTGCTTTTCATGCACGCGCGCGCAGACACACTCACACATATATACATATATATGTGTGTGTGTATGACTGTTACCTTTTCCATCTACAGGTCAGAGCCAAAAGTGTGTGTGTGTGTGTGCGTTCTCAAAGTGAATCAGACAAATGGATGTTTTTATTTGCACACTCGGAATAGAAAGAGAAAAAATACATGAAGCTTTTAAAGTCGATTTGAAGGTCGCTTTTTTGTATGTCCAGCACGCGCACACGTACACGTGCGCACACACACACACACACACACACACACACACACACACACAGAAATCAAGAGGAGTTGCTTTGAGTGGATGAATCGATGTGGATAGTGTCGGCGTGTGTTTTGAACTGGGTGGCATTTTTTTGGGATGCCAACAGGAAGTTGGCGAAGAAGAGGAAGGAAACGCTCAGCTCCAGACAGGAAATGACTCTCATGGTCAACAATTCCCAGCACACAACAATGGTGGAAGCACACGCACAAACTCTCAATGGACACAGTGAGTGTTTCTCTTTCTCTCTCTCTCACACACACACACGCACACGCACGGTCACAGACAGTGTCAGCCTGATGATGACGATGACGTGTATGTGTGTGCGCGTGCACGCAGCAGCGTCATCTGCGTCGTCCTTCACCATGAAGACAAACAGCAGCACCATTCCAAAGTCCTACTACGCAGGTAACGCTTGACTCTTCAATGAACCAAGACATGGACCCGCCCATACTTTCTCTCCTCCACACGTCTTGACGTTCAGTCGTGAATAATCTTTCCATTCTTGTGACTGCAATTAACCACTACTTTTACTTGTGTGCGTGCACGCGCGGCGCGCTTCCGGCAGACGCGTCGGTGCCGACTGCCATTTTAGGTGAGCCGTCTTTTTTTTCCTCTCTTTTTTTCTATCCTGTAAGACAGGAAGCAAACAGACAGGAAGTAGACAAGTGAGACAGGAAACGGCCAAAGAGTCGGGCTTGCTTGCCTCCCTCCCTCCCTCCCTCCCTGCTTGCTGCTCTTGGCTTCTTCGTGGAAAACGATCAGTCCATCATTTCTTTCCCTCATGAGTCGCTTTGATTTCAAGTCCCTTTGGCCGTTGCTCCGTCGGCTTCCGTTCGTCACTCCATCCTGCATCCGCTCCGTGTCTGTGACCTCCGACCCGTGCGTGGACACACGCTCACGTGCCCCCCTCGCCCTCCCCCCAAAAAAAGAACCCCGCAGTGCCAATTAGGACCTGCACGATACGTCGCCGTCCGACGGGAACCTTTCCGTCCGTCATCGCTTGGATGCGTGGGCAATTTGGTTAGCGAGCGCCGTTGCTACTTGCCGCTGGCGATGCGACAACGGCAAATACTGTGATGTCGTACTTGTGCGTCACTGTCCAGGCATGACTGATCAAGCCACGCTAAGTCACCACCATTTGTGTTCTTTTGTGTTTTTGGCCATTACATTTTTTTTCTTTGCATGTAAAATGTGTGTTGATTTCATTTCATTTGAAGAAAAACACTGTGTGTGCGTGTGTGTGTGTGTGTGTGTGTCTATATCTATCTTTCTCTATAGATGTAGATGTAAAGACAAGCCATTTGGCGACCTAACATTTTGTCCATCTAACAGGACGCTAGTCCAAATCAACTTTGATACAGCGGAAGAGCAAGACGCTCAATGCCGCTCAACACCCCTTGGGACGCTCACTCTCGGTGGCCAATAGCGCGCTTGGTTAGCTTCAGAGGGGAAGAGCCATGTCCACTCTGTAGTCCACTGTGTCCAAATGCGCGACGAGTGAGCGAGGACTCGGGAACGATTGATGATTTGGAAGGCAATGGCCGCTCATTCCGGACTCGCCGTTCACCAATAAGGCCGTTTTAGCGAAGGAGCGCTCTGGACGCAGCTGAAGGAAACGGCGATCAAAGTAGTATCGTCGTTCCTCTTTTTGCGCGAAGCGGAGCGAAGCGAAGCGGGAGCCTTCACTCCAGCGTCATCGCGCGTTCTGTTTTTCAGTAGTTTGCTGAGATGAGTTGGATGAACTAAGCTAGTCAAGGTCGCCGCGCGGGCAAGGCTGGTCGAGGAAGCCCGCCGCCCTCAGAGCGAGCGGGCTTTGTGTCGGTGCTAGTCGAAGCTCAAGTTATTGCTTAAACCTTGTCTCCTCTTTCTCTTCTTCTTGACATCTTCGATGTGTCAAAGTTCCCATTCATGGTAAGTTGACGCAGCATTTGGAGCGAGGGGTGGGCGGGATTTCACCCGCTGAGCGCATGGCACCGCGCCCGCCACCCTCTGTGATGTCACCGAGCTCGTTTCCTCCACTCCGATCGGTCGCCGTCGTTGTCGTGCGTTGACGCATCATCACGCGCCGTCGCCTCATTCATCTCATCGCCTTTCCCCGCCCCTTTGTTGTGATTGGTGGGGTCGGAAGCCGTGCAGCCAATGAGAGCAGAGAGCTTAGTGACTCGTGCATGACCTGGGGGTCTGTCCGCCGAAAGCAAATCGCCGCAACTCTTTTCACGTGCGAGCCGAACCCCGAAATCTGGACCCCGACCGGCTCGGGGCGCCTTTTCCCGGATCGTCCGCTCTTCTCCCTTTTGACCACGACTCGGTCTGCGGCGGGACTGAATCCGCACCGGTTTGTGGATCTGAAGCGAGGGTGGGTGGATTTGGCTCGGTTCCGGTTCAGAACCTCTACTGGATCCGGACTTTTCATTGACGTGATTCTGTACTGGACCCGGACCGCTCTTTGTTCCGGATGCGAATCAAAACTGGATCCGACCCAGAAAAAGGATCCGAAGCACGGGAAAATCTGGTTCGGTCAGTCGAATGAAAACAAGTGCAGCGTGAAAAGAGTTGATGGATATCGGCGTGGATGTGAGCCAAAGGGCGAGTTTGCAGTTTTGGGCCTGGTTTCACCCGTCAGCCCGCCGTTGAGCCTCTGATCAAAGTCTTCTCAAAGGCCGGCATTCTTATGGATGTTAAAGTCCGTCGTCGTCGTCAACAACTGCCTCAGGAATGCTAAGCTAGCATTAGCACCGCGAACTAACCGGTGCTAGCCCAGCTGCTCTGTTACTAGCCAGACTTTTAGCCGTAGAGCGCGACTCCCGCACTAAATGTCACGGCTTTGAGTTTGTATCGTGGAGGAGACTGCCCGGCGGATCCGTCCCTAAGTCCGCATGGCTCGTGAGCGCCCTTTGCGCCGCTTCCGGTCGCTCGTCTTAGTCAAAGCGGTTTGCCTTGTGAGCCCGAGCTCACAGGGCAGCGCGACGGCGAGCTAGAGTACAAATGACAGACACTCGTCGATCGCACCTTCTGTCTCCGATGGCTCGATCTGACTCTGGCGCAGTGGTTGCATTCATCAAAACTGCCAACTCCTCCATTGATGTGACGTGTGTGCGTGTCATCGTCGTCGTTGTTGTTGTTGTTGTTGTTGTTGTTGTGGGGACTGTGAAAAGGCATTGTGGACCCTGTGGACTTTGCAGCACATGAGATCCAGGTCCAGGTCTCGTTTGCGGTATTCGCCGCCGTCCGTCGCCCCCTGTTGACGAGGCCTGTGGCTTTCGTGTGGGTTTTTTTGCGCGGCAGATGAGCTGAGCAGCGAGACCAGCAGCCTGGTCCAGAACCACCTGAAGCAGCGCGAAGCGGAGCGCGAGCCGCCCCCTTACCACCCCGACCCGGCCCAGATGCACCCCGCCATCCGCGTGGCCGACCTGCTGCAGCACATCACGCAGATGAAGTGCGCCGAGGGCTACGGCTTCAAGGAGGAGTACGAGGTGGGCCCGCGTGTCGGCGGCCGTTAGACGCATCGTCACGCCCGCCGCTTGCATGTACATTGAGTGCTTATACTGATGATGAGGAGGATTCTTCTCATGGGTGTAAAATGACCGTAATGATCAACACGGAGTGTTCCTCCTATTTGCACGTGTTAGCGGGAAGGTAGCGAGGAGGAGAATAGTCATGGTGACAATAAGAATAATGATCCCCACCCCCCTTGCTTCTCCTCTCTCCATTCATCCCACGGGACAGCTGAACGAGGTAAGATGGGTCACGTCCCGCCTTCTCGTCCCCGACACGCAATCGCTCGTAGCGTCCTTCATCCGCTCATCCGTTCCTCTGTTCGTGTGTCCGTTCACGTCCCGATCATCCGCTCACTCGTCGATTCGCAGCCGCTCGCATTCAGGCGCGCATGTTTGCTCGCTCCGTTGAACGACATCTCACGGAAAGTCCCCGTCAGGCCGCTTGGCTCGGCCAGCGGAGGCCCACCCGCATGCCGGGGGCTCGGCGATGTCGCGGAGGCAGCCCGATCGGCGCAACAGCGCCCCCTTACGGTTTGAGCCGCCAAACGCGACGGGACGCCCGGCGTTGGCCTGAGCTCACTTGGTGACGCGCGCGCACAGATGGCCGCTGACGGAAGTGGGGAACAAAGGAAGGAAAGAGAAGAATGCGAGGAGAGACGCTTTTGGGATGATTTCAGCATCTCTCTCTCTCTCTCGCGCGCACCTTTCTCATCTCCAATCACTACAGTGCAGCGTAGTTTCAGCGACTTGTTTGAATTGACGGCTGGCTGGCTGGCTGGCTGACTTTGTATTTGTTGCTCATTTGTTGCGTTTGTGTGCTCAGAGTTTTTTGGAGGGTCAGTCGGCACCTTGGGACTCGGCCAAGAAGGACGAAAACCGAATGAAAAATCGCTACGGAAACATCATCGCCTGTACGTACGCAAACACGCCCGGTCCTCTGTTCTCCCCCAACCATGCCCCCCCCCCCTCCACCCCCCAAAATATAATAAAAACAAACCATTGTCATATGTTTTTCAATCAAGAAAGTCACACTCTGTAATGTTGTGCTTTTACAACAACAGCCACGGCAAAATTCTAGAATAAAAGAGAAACACGCTGCGTGATGATTTCATGCTTTAATTTGTTTCATTGCGTTGCTCCCTCGAGTGCAGGGCTGTCCAAACTCCGTCCTCAAGGGCCACTGTCCAAAGCTATCCCGATTCCGATAATCGCGATAGTTCTGGTGCCGCTTTCGGGGAGAGCCGGAAAACCGGCGGGACGGCGGCCCTCCAGGACCGGAGATGGACGTGCCCGCTCTCGCGTCTTCCCCCATTGCCACCAAAATTGGCTGAATCACGCTTCATATTTGGAAACCCGTCCAACTCGGAGTCTCGTACTGCGCAAACGTGCCTACCTGCCTGTGTGTGTGTGTGTGTGTGTGTGTGTGTGTGTGTGTGTGTGTGTGTGTGTGTGTGTGTGTGTTGTAGACGACCATTCTCGTGTGCGTCTGCAGCCTCAAGATGGAGACAAGGGGTCAGACTACATCAATGCCAGCTATGTCGACGTGAGTAACACACACACACACGCACACACACAATAAATAGTCGGTTGCCTTTAAAGGTCAGTGCAAAAGATGGCGGGCCTCTCTGTTTCCATGGCAACGGTGGTCATCCTGGATGCGAGTGGTGTTGACTGAGTAAACAAACACAAAAGTCAGCGTGTGCGTGCGCTCGCTCGAGTTTGTTTTGCCACAGCGACATCGCAACTAATGCCAAGTGGAAACCAAAGGCCGGCCGCCTCCGAGCCAAGTCGACCGAGTGAAAAAGTCGAGTGCTTGTTTCTTTGTCTCCTTTGCAGGGTTACCACCGGCCCAACCGCTACATCGCCACGCAAGGTCCACGGTGCCGCCGGCGACATCTTCACGGGTCCTCACAACAGCGCGCGCCTCGCCTTACATTTGTGTGTGTGTGCGTGCGGGCGGGCGCGTTGCAGGTCCCATGCAAGAGACCGTGTACGACTTTTGGCGAATGGTGTGGCAGGAGAACACGGCTGCCATCGTCATGGTAACCAACCTGGTGGAGGTGGGCCGGGTAGGCAATGCGTGCACACACACACACACACACACACACACACACACACACACACACAGACTCCTTTTCCCAGAATGCATCTGCCAGGACAACAGTGCCCCCTGTTGTTACAGCAGCACAAACCTCCGTCCTGACTTGAACCTCAAGTGACAAGTCCAAGTGGAAAGTCGTACCCACCCCCCACCCCCCACTCTCACACACACATCCCGTTCTCTGTGAGTCGTATTTTGGTTGCCGGGACAATCAGTGTTGAGCTTGAATATTTCGAGGGAGTTGATGTGTCGTCATTCATGTTGTCACGGGAGGTTTTGGGACGTGTGGATTTGGGTTGGGGGTTCTGGAGGTTCAAGTCAGCTATTTTAAAGCGAAGGTTGACGCTGCGGCGGTGTTAGTGCACGGCTATCGTTGCAAAAACATATCATGTTGATGATGTGTTGTTGCACAGGTGTGATCAAAAGCAGACGTTTCTGGATTGGGAGACTCGCGACGTGTTTTTTAGTCAAAAGGACAATTGGGGACGCATTCAACGAACATCGATTGCGGATTTGGGCTCGGAGTCCAGACAGTCTGGCGGTGGTTGCCGCAAGCTCTCAAAGAAGTCTAAAGTTGGCGACGGTATTACCGCGCACCTCGGTGTCAAAATCCGAAGATCGCCCGACCCAAGTGTGAACGCATTCAAGATGTTGTACGCGCAGTAAAACACCGCAGCGGCAGTGAGAAATGCAATTCTAAATGTGCTTGTTCGTCTCCGCGTGCCCCGCGACCCTCGTGAGGATCGGCGGATCGGAAAATGGATGGATGGTGAAGGCAAAAAGGAGGCTGGGCCATGTACATGAAAAAAAAAGGACGCGGGCGCTCGTAAGAGGCTTAAATGCCAAAAGGAAAAAGAGGGCAGGCGGGTTGCCAGCCACGGCGCAGCGTCAACATTCCAGTGAACGGGATTCCAAAAGACCGATGTTGCGCAACATCGGTCTCGCCGCCTTCGCGCGGCGTCTGTCGGACGGGACGCGTTTGAGATGGGCGGGTTGCGGCTGTGCTCAGGTGAAGTGTTGCAAGTACTGGCCCGACGACAGCGACATCTTCGGCGACGTTTCCGTGACGCTGATGGAGACGCAGCTGCTGTCCGAGTACGTCGTTCGAACCTTCGCGGTGGAGAAGGTCGGCGCCGCCGCCGCCGCCGCCGCCGCCGCCTCGTCCACACGGGCTCGCGATCCCGACGTCTAACGGGCCGCGCTTGCCTTCCAGAGGGGTGCGGCCGAGATCCGGGAGATCCGGCAGTTCCACTTCACGGGCTGGCCCGACCACGGCGTCCCGCTGCACGCCACCGGACTGCTCGGCTTCGTGCGCCGCGTCAAGGCCAAGACGCCGCCCGCCGCCGGGCCCACCGTCGTGCACTGCAGGTTCCTCATCCTCTCCTTCATCCGCCCCGCTTTCGGCGACGGCGTCTTCGCGAGCGCGCTGACGCGGACGCGTTTCACTCGGAATCGCTTTCCGTCAGCCGTTTGCCGCGTCGCGTGAGATGAATGACGCCGGCGCGTGTGCGTGACAGCGCGGGCGCGGGCCGCACCGGCTGCTTCATGGTGATCGACATCATGCTGGACATGGCCGAGCGCGAGGGCGTGGTCGACATCTACAACTGCGTACGGGAGCTGCGAGCGCGACGGGTCAACATGGTGCAGACCGAGGTACGTACGTACGTACGCGTGCGCGCGCGGCCGGCGGTGACGCGGCGTCCCGTGCTCGCAGGAGCAGTACGTTTTCATCCACGACGCGATCCTGGAGGCGTGTTTGTGCGGCGATACGTCCGTCCCGGCCAATCAGCTGCGTTCCGTCTGCTACGACATGAACCGACTGGACCCGCAGACCAACTCCTGTCCCATCAAGGAGGAATTCCGGGTAAACAAAAGACCCCAAAAGTCGTATGCCGCATTGAAGAGAAAAACAAATGCGCAGGTGCATCTGTTACGTTAGTTTTCAGCCGTTATTTGTTTTGTTGGACATACATGTTTGCCTGTTGGCAAGCAGACGTTGAACATGGTGACGCCGACGTTGCGCGTGGAGGACTGCAGCATCGCGTTGCTGCCACGCAACCACGACAAGAACCGCTGCATGGACGTGCTCCCTCCCGACCGCTGCCTGCCCTTCCTCATCACCATGGACGGCGAGAGCTCCAACTACATCAACGCCGCCCTCATGGACGTACGTACGCCGCCGAGCTTCGCTTGCCTTTGACGTGACGAGGAAGCCCGACGCCGGCGATGGGCAACGGAAGGCGGCGAAGGTTGCCCGACCGGGAGCGCGCGGGGGTCCGCCGTCGTTACAAGTCGCACGATCGCCGCTCGGCATCGGATAGCGAGCTAACACGGCCCGGTTGAGCTCCCGCCGGGTCTTCTACTGGCCTGGACTGCGACGCGAGGAGCCCCCTCATCATTTCTTTGCCCATTGGGAACGATCCGCGGTACAAATCGAGCACCTCGATCATACCGATACGATGACCCTCTGTTGTCGGCCGAGGATTGCGGATCTTTGATGACAAATCGTGGCCCCCTCCGGCATCGACATTGCCCTAGCCAATTTGCGGAGGGGTTCCCCGTCAGGAATGGTTGAGTTCAGATGGTTGACCGGCTCGCACCCGGCTTCAGCGAGTCGCACTCGACTCGTGCGACTCGCTGAAGGCCGGCGCTGAACCCGCCGGAGATTAGGCGAGGCGTCGGGTCCGCAAAGTGGGCGCGGTGACCGGCCAACCGCTTTGTGCCTCGCAGAGCTACAAGCAGCCGTCGGCCTTCATCGTGACGCAGCATCCTCTGCCCAACACCGTCAAGGACTTCTGGCGCCTGGTCCTCGACTACCACTGCACCGCCATCGTCATGCTCAACGACGTGGACCCCGCACAGGTCAGCCGCGAAATCATCGCCGAGCAAGTCAGAGGGGGGCGGCTTTTCGGGGTTCCCCTCTCCCTGTGCTTGATGTCCATCGAGTTATGATCCCATCGCGACCCCAAATGAACTGCCGCAGGCGCTTAAGCGGGACGACGCAGATGTGCCGTCGGGCTCTCGCAGCCCTTAACCCCGGTGTGCGCGTGTGTGTGCGTGCGCGCGTGCGTGCGTAGCCAGCCCGTCCGCCTTCATTTGTCTGCCGGCGACTAGCTTCATTGAGTGCGCGCCCATCGCTCATCGGCGCCCCCTTTCAGGAAAGGCTCTCCTTTCCTTGACGTTTGGAGAGCTCATCGGCTTTCGAAGCGTAAGCTTGCACTTGCTGCTTTTGACCCGCTTTGAACTGGTCGCCCGCTTGCCCTGCAGCTCTGCCCTCAATACTGGCCCGAGAACGGCGTCCATCGTCTGGGCTCGCTGCAGGTGGAGTTCGTCTCGGCCGACCTGGAAGAGGACGTCATCAGTCGCATCTTCCGAATCTACAACCACACCAGGGTGCTCGTTCTTCCTCCTCTCGTCGTCCTCCTTCCTCGCGTTGTCGTCTTCTCCTTGTTGGCACTTGCGCGCGCTCGGCCGGTGAGAGAGTTTGATTTTTGCCCGCCCCAGCCCCAGGACGGCTACCGCATGGTGCAGCAGTTCCAGTTCCTGGGCTGGCCGAGGTACAGGGACACGCCGGTCAGTAAGCGCTCCTTCCTCAAGCTGCTCTACCTGGTGGACAAGTGGCACGACGACGGCGGGGACGGACGCACGCTCGTGCACTGCCTGTACGTACGCCCGCCCGCCCGCCCGCAGCGTTCGCTACACAAACAACTAGCGAGTTGCCTTCCCGCATGTGACGCTTACGCTGTACTTGCGGTTACGCCATACGAGTCCAGCGGCACCTCGAGACGCAAATGACCCGACGGGCCGTCTTTCGGCCGGCGTGTCGCTTTCACTTGCGAGCGCTTTGGCACAAAGTAAACAATTGTTCCAAAAAAAAAAAAAAAAAACACGTTTCAAGCTTTTCAGTGGCACTCCGAGCTCAAGTTTACTCCCAAATCAAACGATTGCCCTTTGTGTATTTCAATCTGTAGTTTCGCTTCTCGTCTGTAGCTTCATGCTCATGCGAACAAAGAATGTGGAAACTCGATCGAGGTGCTGTCGCCCGTGCTCAATAGCATTCGCGATGCGGCTTTACAACACTCCAAGCAAGAGATTTTTGAACACAAACGGTGCAGCAATGTTCGTTTCAATCGGGAAAGATCATTTGAGGCATGAGCGCCTTGAATTCCGAGCGCGGTTTACAAGAGCCAGCCACATTCGTCTCTCCGGGCACCACCAGAAGATGTTCCTCTCGACCGGGGCTACGGAGGGGCGCGACCGACGCGGAGATGGCCTGCGTATGCCATTCACAAATTTCAGGTCAAATTGCGGAGGGCGTAAAGTGGGGCTCCACAGATTTCTGCCGGGGCACGCCACCCCGCCGGCCCCGGGGCTGCCCTGGTTTTGCGCCGTGCCTGACCCTTGTTTTTTCAACCACCCCTCATTCCTTCTCATTCTCACCCCCGACCCTAACCCACCTGTAGGAATGGCGGCGGCCGCAGCGGCGTGTTCTGCAGTGTCAACATTGTGTGTGACATGTTACGACAGCAGCGATCTCTTGATGTTTTTCACGCTGTCAAAACGCTGAGAAACAACAAACCCAACATGGTGGAACTACTGGTTGGTAGCGCGCACACACACACACACACACGCACGCACACACACGCAGACTGGTGGCCGGTCTCTGAGATCATTTCTGTTTCTTGTTTTGTTGGTAGGACCAATACAAGTTTTGTTACGAAGTGGCTCTGGAGTATTTGTCCTCCGCATAGTGGGACAACAAGACCGCTTCCCGCTCCCCTTGGTCATCCTCATCCTCACCCTCCTCCAATGGCCACGGCGCTGGTGGACACAACCAGAGGACGAGCACAACTACTGAAAGTGGATGAAGTGGAGGACATGTTTTTTTGCACTTCCCGCTTGAACGATGTCACACACATTCACACGCGTGTGTCTTTTGTGGACCCAACTCGGTGGTTGGTGTCTTTGCATCTGAGTGGAGCATCCATTCAAAGTCGATGTGCGCTGCTGCCCGTTGGTCACATGATGACGGCAAGAAGTCACCTTCATCATAAGTGCTTTTATCTGCATTACACACACACACACACACACACACTCTGTTATTTCTCCCGTTGTATTTAATCCCTTCCAAAAACTTGAACGTTGTGTGTGCATGCGCACGCCTGCGTACGTGTACTGTGAGCATGTGCGTCTGTGCATGATGAGAGCACAGCGGTGAGTTGTAAATTGTTTTCAAAATGCCAAAAGTGGTCCGCGTATGAACGACGAGTGTTGCTTTTGGATTTGTGCCAGTCAGATCGGGCGTTGCCAGAGACTGCGAGTTGTGACATTCGATATTTTGTATATAGAGAAGCGCAGCGAAGCCGCTATTTATTCTTTCTTGTTGTCCTTATGAAGCATGCAGACACGGCTGGTGCTGATGTTAAATGTATTTATTGAAGAATTGTATTTGTCTTGTTCGGTTCCGAGCCTTCACAAATAAAGAAGTCGAGTTGTTGAAACGCTGGCTGCCGTCTGCACACTGTCTTCCAGGCCACTGGAGGGCGTCCCGGCCAACTTCTCAGCGCTTTGAAATGAATGAAAGTTAGCGGGAGTGTTGACAGAAGCTTCAACTGTCGAACATCCATATGTAGCATGTCATGCCCCCTCGTTGTGGTGGGTGTTTGCGAGGCGGTAAAAGAACCTTTGAACACCGCTGTACTGAAATACGTTTCGGCCCGTCCTAGTTGTTGTCTCGACGTAAAGAAGGGAATTGAATCGGTGCTTCCACCTTCTGTAATTCTACTTCCGACCTTTAGCCAAGTGTGATTTATTTTGGTTTGTGCTTGTTTCTTTCTGTTCATTTCAGTCCACATGCGGGCGGTAATGCGCCATTATGCTGCTTTGCCAACCGCCAATAAGGACCACCGAAGAAGAAAAAGAGGGCGGGGGTAACGTTAATATGACGGAAAGTGGCGCGCAGGTAAGCGGGTGATATGTTTTCAATTTGACTTGCCAATGTCGCCCCCCAGGCTGTACTTGACAGCGTTTGTTCTGATTGTTGCCAATATTTGCAATGCGTCGGTGACGTCGAGCGTCAGCGTAACGTCGTCGAGTAGCGCTACAAGCGGAGCGGGCGCCGTCTAAAGAAGTGGCTGGCTGCAGGCTGTCGAGCGTGAGGAAGCGTCTATCACCAGCGCCTCCCTCTCTCTCCCTGTGTCCAGCTGTTCGCACGACTCGATGGCCGCCAAAGTGTTCGTGACATCGAACCTCGCCTTTTTCCCCAAAACGCACAACCCGGACCCGGTCAGTCCACAACGACACTCTCACACATGCCAGAACAATTCAACATGGGCAGTCAGTCACCCAGGCGGTGTTCACAAGCCTAGTATATAGTACTCCAACGTCACTAGTTGTCTTTTTTTAAGATTGTGGACTTTTTGGGGGTCAAAAGCTTTATTTAAATTGACATATATGAACATATGCAAACCCACATTTGCAAGTTGGTTTGTAACAACATGCATAAACATTCATTTGAATACAACAACGTGTTTGTAAAAGTAAAGTAAAACTAACAAAGATGTGAAAACATGTCAGAGTCAATGGACTGAACTTGAGACGACGACTACCCCCAAAAGGCTCTTGTCTCTTCATAAATTTGGGCAACAGAACCTTTCATCGAATCTTTTCAATCTCGCCCGAAAACTCATTTTTATTCTTTGGCTTTTGACTCCGCCTGGGACTTGATTTTTATTTTGACTGTTCTTGTGCTTTCGACTGTCTTTATTATTAATTAGTTTGTGGTATGAATTATATTTGCTCGATGTGCAGCACTTGCTATTCAGTGCCGGTTGTTTTAGAGTGCTCCTGAAATACACTTGAGTCGAAATGTTGTGTAGTCCTTGTACGTTTAAGACGCTGGAATTGAACCCTGCACCTCTGCGCTGCGAGGCTAACCAGTCGTCCGACGTGTTAAGCAGTCGTCCACCTCGCCATCCTAAAGAACAACCATCCAAGAAAAAAGAGAAAAGAGGGGAGAAAAAAACCAAACACAAAAACAGGATTGGATAAGTCTCGATGGGGGCTAGAGGAGTGGTGGGGGGGCATCAGTCTAAACCAGAAGAAAAGTAGACAGAGACGCAAGGTGATACCCGTTGGCAGTAAAGAACAGTAAAAGCATCCCACCAAAGTCAATTCAGCCCAAGGGCCAAACAACGAGTGCACATACTGTATTGTCATGCCAGTGATCAAATCGAATTTCATGAAATTTGGCTTGGAGTGCCAACAACACGGTCTTCTACGCTGTGAGACATCCAAGATGGCGGCATCATCGCTACGCAGTCAGGCATTTGCGTGCGTTTGCTAACCAACGACATGGCGCATTTGGGTCAGGGGCGGTGGTGGAGCTCTACGGGACGGAGGGCACCGGTGAGTTGAGACCGCAAGAAGCAGCGCGGCGTCGGCACCGATCTCTCGTGACGCTGACGCCGGCGTGCGGCGCGCAGGTAAGACGGAGCTGCTGTACCACTTCCTGTGCCGTGCCGTGCTCCCCGTCCATGCCGGCGGCCTGGAGCTGGAGGTGCTCTTCGTCGACACCGACTACAGCCTGGACGTGTTGAGGCTCGTCGGCATCCTGGACGCCAGGCTCCTCGCCGCTGCCGGTATGTGCCGCTGTGCGTGCGTGAATGTGTGTGAGCAAGTGGACTTTGTGTGTGTGTGTGTGTGTGTGTGTGTGTGTGTCCCTCACTATCTGTTGACCCCCCCTTTCTTACCCCTCACACCCATGCTCACTCTCTCTGTGAACTCATTTGCTCTCACCCTCTCTGTGTCTTCCTCCCTCAAATCATTCTTTCGCCCTCCCTCTTTCTCCAACTCTGCGCGCCCCCCCTCCCAGCCGAGTCGTCCATCTGGCCGCAGCGACCTGAGGCCCACGTGCGCGCCTGCCTGTCCCGCCTGCTGGTGGCGCACTGCGACTCTTCGCGGCAGCTGCTGGTGACCCTGCACACGCTGGAGGCTCGCTTGGTGTCCCGACCCGGCCCGGCGCTCGTCCTCCTGGACAGCGCCTCGGCGTTCTATTGGTCGGACCGCGGTGAGGGTGGGGCCAGTGTGTCCAAGCAGGAAGAGAATCTGAGAAAATGTTCGCAGCTATTGGCGGCTCTGCTGAGGTGGGCGGGCCTTTTTTCCGGGTTTTCGTGCTTGCCGTTGGCTGTTGATTTTGTCTTGCTGAATGTTGTTCAAAGTAAATCAAGTTGTTGCTGTTCCTGCACCTGTCACCTGTCCTCCATCCGTCAGGGATTACCGGATCAGCGTGTTTGCTTCCTGCCACGCCAACAGGAGGCGTTGCGGCCACGCCTCCTCCTCCTTCTCTCACCTGTGTCGCCCCTGGCAACGGCTGGTCACTCACCGCGTGTTGTGCTCCAGGCAGGAAGTTGCTCCAGCCCGGGGTGGCCCCAGAGGTCACGTGTTCAGCGCGCACTGCACGTCCTCGTCATCCGGGGGCAAAGCTTACAGAAACTGCTCCTTCCGGATCGGAGACGGCGGCCTGGAATTTGTCTGACGCGCTTGTCCTCCGACCGCTGCCTGGCCCACTCGACCTACCGCAGAGAATCAAAGCCACCGCTCAATAAATAAAGCCTTGACGCGACTCCTGACGTTCACCTCGTCGGCGCATTTCATTTGATTGGCCGCTCAAGAGCACGCGTGTCAAACGTTCGGCCCTCGTGAAGGATTTTTGTCACAGCATTCATCAGAATCCCCAGAACAGGTTCACCGCAATGTTTGGCTGAAGCCAACTCTTGCTGCTAATCGTGTCCGCTGGAGGTCGCAGTGACGCTGCACCATGAAAAGCGATGCTCTGTGAAGAAAGATTCGAGCGACAACACTGTGCTGCACTGTACTTCTTTATTTCACTCGAGCTGCAGCTGTAACAAAGCGCTTTGCAGAGCATCGAGCATAAAACAGTGACCACAACACAATGGTAACGCGTGTTGTCCGAATCGGTTATAGATGAAAGAGGAGAAATCGGCCCCCTTCCCCCAGTTTTCGAAACATCAATCAACAGCCCGAGTTCGAAAAAGTGGAAGCGCGTTTGCCTCGCGGGATCAAGCGGAGCTTGCCGTTTAGCACGTTAGCTTTAGGTCGCTGTCAACCGTCCGCCGGCGTGACGACTTGTGTGCCAGCCCTGACGTCGTCTCGCTGGCCGCGCGCGAAGGAAGTAAGTGAAGATGGCGACGGCGTACAAGGGAGCGCTCAAGATGATGCAGGTGAGGGTGGCGCCGCGCCGCGCCGCGCCGCGCGGTTGTCAAGCAGCAGCGAAGCGTGTCACGCGCAAAGGAAACGGAGAGTCCCCGCGGAGAAGGCGGCGCAGGTGAGTCTTGCCGAGGTTCTCCAGAGGCTCTTGAATGCGGAAAGACTGACGGGACGGGATGCTGACGCTTTCTGTCTGAAGGAGCGGACTGCCGCGGGCGCACTCGCACTCGCACTCGCACTCGCCGGCGGAGGTGTGCGTGCGCAAACGTCTCCGGTCGGGCGGCGGCAGCTGAGATTGCCGTCTTTTGCTCGGCCCCGGACATGGGCTGTTTGGGAGGGAAGACGGATGAAGAACGGCTGGACGAGAAAGTCAAACGGGAAGCCAACAAAAAGATCGACCGACAACTGCAGAAGGAACGGCAAGCCTTTAAAGCCACGCACCGACTGCTGCTGCTGGGTCCGACTCGCTCGCTCGCTCTTGTTGTCCGTTTGCCCGTCTCGCCAACTTTCTGCGATCCCGACTTTGTCTTTCTCTCTCATGTCGTCTCTGTCTCACTCATGGTGTGTCCCCCATGTCCGGTCTTGCATTCTTCGCTTGCTCCCTGTCTGTCTCACTTCCTGTCTGTTGTTCTGAATTCTGAATCCCTGTCTCACTGTGTGTGTGCGCGTGCGTGCGTATGTGTGTGTGTGTGTGTGTGTGCGTGCACATGCACATGTGTGCATGCGTGCGTGCAGGAGCCGGCGAGTCTGGCAAGAGCACGATCGTCAAACAGATGAGGATTCTTCATGTTGATGGTTTCAACCCTGAGTGAGTCACATTCAAGGCGCTTTTATTGTGAAAAGCCTTCAATGTCCTTCCTGACGGCGCTCAGTAACAAGTTCAAGTCGGAGATTGTTTGGACGCTCCAAAGTGTTCATTGAGCCAAAGCTGAATGGACACGTCGGAGCTCTTGTTGGTTGTTGAAGACATTTCATCCCAAAGCCTGCTTCGCCGCTCATGTTCTTTTCGTGCTGGCGGCGGTCCCCGCGATGGAACTTGCCAGCATAGCTGTCGTTAAGACGCTCACGTTTCGGGGAGTTGGCTAGTTCTGGTTCGGGAGGAGGATGGCCCGGAAAGTGGTCCGACGTTTGAACGAAAGTAGGACCTCTTTGCAGAGATGAATCACTTTGCCCTCAAAGGTGCGTTCGTTTTCTCTTTTGACATCCACACGTGCTCACCGCTGAGGAAAGAAAGATCTTCAACAAGCAAGATGAGTCCGGCCGGCTCCATTCAACTTTTGCACATTCGATTGATGATTGACACGCACCAAGTGCTTCTGTGCTTTTTCTTTTGTCTCGAGAGAGAAGCAGCAGAAGATTCAAGACATCAGGAAGAATGTGAAGGATGCCATCGTGGTGGGTCACCTGACCTCTGATCACATGAGATGACGAGTGACTCGGCAGCGCTTGAACTTGTGTGTGTGTGTGTGTGTGTGTGTGTGCGCGCGCGTGTGTCAGACCATCGTGTCGGCTATGAGCACATTGACTCCTCCCATGCCTCTGGGTGACCATGGCAACCAGTTCAGAGTTGACTACATCAAGGGGATCGCACCTCTGTCTGACTTTGAATACACTGAGGTAACACACACACACACACACACACACACACACACGATGTTCAGGACGCTTGAAGGCACCTGGAGAGTTGTTGTTTGTTGTCACCATGTTAATGACCTGATGAAATGAGACCTCTTGGGAGTCAGACCACGAAGGATGACACACACACACACACACACATCTCTGACTGTAAGTGTGTGTGTGTGTGTGTGTGCGTGTGTGTGTGTGTGTGTGTGTGTCACCTGTGGCCTTGTTATTTGAACGTCTCCCGGGACACTAAGAAGACAACACGGGTGTCTCGAAACTCTTTCACTTTCTGCGTGTGTGCGTGTGCGGATGAGTGGTTGTGACACACGCATGTATGCACACAGAGCAGTGATGACGCCTCATCTCTCTCAGGAATTCTTTGAGCACGCTCAAAAGCTTTGGGAGGACGACGGTGTGAAAGCGTGCTTTGAACGCGCCAACGAATACCAGCTGATTGACTGTGCTCAGTAGTAAGGCAGGCACACACGCAAGCACGCCCCGAGGCCTCCGCTCGCCTGTCGCATTCAGAATCCCAAGTGTGTGTGTGTGTGTGTGTGTGTGTGTGTGTGTGTGTGTGTGTGTGCGCGCGCACACCGTAGCTTCTTGGACCATTTGGACTCTGTGAGAAGGGCCGACTACAGTCCTACCGACCAGGTAACGAAACAAAGCAAGCGAGCCATCCACTGTTAGCTGTCCTTCTTGCTCGGCAGACTCAGTCTGGTCTTCTCCTCAAGGATTTGTTGCGCTGCCGAGTTCTAACGTCAGGGATTTTCGAGACCAGGTTTCAAGTGGACAAGGTCAACTTTCAGTGAGTGTCTGTGAGACAGTCACCAAACAGTCAGCTGCTTCTTATGCTTCTCGTGTGTGTGTGCGCACACGTGCGCCAACTCTAGTATGTTTGACGTGGGAGGACAGAGGGATGAACGCAGGAAGTGGATTCAGTGTTTCAACGGTAAGAGGCGTACAGGCACGCACACACACACACACACACACACACACACACACACACACACACACACACACACACACACACACACCCCCCCGACCCCGACTGAGCGTCTTGGTCTGATCTGTCAGATGTCACGGCCATCATCTTCGTGGCCGCGAGCAGCAGCTACAACATGGTGATCCGAGAAGACAACTCTACTAATCGCCTGCAAGAATCTCTGGACCTCTTCAGATCCATTTGGACCAACAGGTTCTTCGGCGATTGGCTGCCCCGCTCGTCCATCGTCTCTGGTTCACGTGGCCCGCTTTGTGATTGGCTGCAGGTTTTTGAAGACCATCTCCGTCATCTTGTTCCTCAACAAGCAGGATGTGCTCGCTGACAAGATACTGGCTGGGAAATCCAAACTGGAGGATTATTTCCCCAAATACTCCAACTACACACTTCCCCCTGATGGTAACACACACACACACACGCACACACACACGTGCGGGAAGGAAGTTACAGTTGCTGTTGTGTGCGTGTTTGCAGCTGTTCCAGATGTGGATGAAGATGCCAGGGTGACCAGAGCAAAATTCTTTATCAGAGATGAGTTCTTGGTGAGGAAACAAATGTTCAAATCACAATGGGGCCATGTACAATTTCACTTGAAACACGTGTGTGTGTGCGTGTGCGTGTGTGTGTATTTGTCAGAGGATCAGCACGGCGAGCGGCGACGGCAAACATTATTGCTATCCACACTTCACGTGCGCCGTGGACACCGAAAACATTCGCCGCGTGTTTAACGACTGCCGGGACATCATCCAGCGCATGCACCTGCGACAGTACGAGCTCCTCTGATTGGCCGCTTGCCTCTGACTAGTTCCCGCCCACTTCCTGAACCAAGCCAGCTCATACATAGACAAGCACATATCCCCGTTCACTCCAGTGGCCCCAAAAAGACGATTTTGTCACCGCAAAGCACGTCTCCGCTCAGCTATCTTTGCCAGGCGGAAGCGCGCCGTGCTCTTTGAATGCCAGTTTAGTTGCGTGACGTGCCGTGACATTTGTTCACGGCAAAGCCACCTGATAGACTTTGGCGCAATGGGAAGCTCGGGCAACACTCAAGTCAAGAGAAACAATGTTTTTGTCCTAAGCACTGCTCCAGATGACGAACGTGATTCGTTAATCGACCTTTCATTCATGTAAGGTAGCTTTAGATCACAGGTGTCAAAGTCCGGTCCCGGAGGGCCGCGGTTTTCCAAGTCTCCCTGTTGCAACGCACCTGATTCAAATGATCAGATCATCGGCAAGCTTTGCGGAAGCCCGCCGTTGAAGCTGTTCGTTTGAATCGGGTGTGTTGCAACAGGTAGACTTGGAAAACATGCGGGACAGCGCCCGCGGCCCTCCGGGGTCGGAGTTTGACACCCCTGCTTTAGACCATTAATATACTTGCGCGTGATGGTACATACGGTATGTTTGCTAGCACTTGGTAGGCGCTTTGTGCTTGTTGTGGTCAAGTGAAATAAAAGCAGGTGTGCTTCTTAGTTCTTTGTATGTGTTTTGGCGTGTGTCCCGGAAGGTGCACTTGGGGGCTACCCGACGGACACTTTGGCTTCTTCGTGAACAAAAAGCTGCCTGGAACTCGACGTTGACGCCCTCCTCCTCCTGGCGGCGCCGATTGGCTGCGCCGGGTGTCTGTCAGTAACTGGGGCGGGGCCATAGGCGGGAGAGAGGGGGAAAAAAAGAGGGGGGGCGAGTCTGAAAACATCTGCGCGTCGCCAGTTGACTTTTTTGGGACCCCAAAACAAAGGAGGAGATTTGGTGTGAAAGTGAAGGCCGAAGACAACCTTTCGCTTCCTCTTCTTTGAGTCTCTTGCTGTTTTTTGTCGCGTGAGCCGGGAGCGGCCCACACGTTGGCCGAACGACTTTTTGTGCGCGCCCGCCCGCGCGTGCGTGTGGGCGCGCGAGTGCGCGGGATGCCCCCGGCGGCGGCGGCGGCGGCCTCGGTCCCGGTCCCGGTCCCGCTCCCGTTCAGGCGGACACACCTCTGACAGTTCGCCCCGAAAGCGCGACCGGCACCACAGAGCAGAAGGGCCCGTCGTGGATCCGGACGGGAGGGAACCATGACACGTACGACCTCCGAACTGCTGCTGGCCGGCTTCATCTTCCGGTTGCTGCTGCCGCTCGGCCTCACCGCAGGTTGGGCTTCATACTTTTGAAAATCATGATGTTCGTTTTTCATTTCAGTCCCGGAGCAACTACGAGACAAAGCCGTCCGTCATGTTGTCGCTCTTTTCGTCTGACATTTGGGCCAGCATTAATAATTCACAAGTAAACATCAGCCACTTTTTTCAAAGCACGATAAGGTCACAAGGACACATTTGCGTTGCATCGCAGACATTTTGTCAACGGAAACGCTGTCGATCGAACAGATTTATCGCCACGATGTCAACGATGATGCGCTTTCACGGTGGGAAGCGAAGGCCGAGGGGCCACGTGTGTTCGGACCCACCAAAAAGTCAAGTTTGGAATTGAGTCTTTCCATTCGGACAGAAAAGAGCCTTTTTTTCGACGCTGAACTGGTTCAAATCAAGTCAAGTCAGCTTTTATTGTCAAATATACTCCATGTGTAACGCACAGCACGGATGAAATGACTTTCCTCTCTCAACCACAGTGCAAACGTGGAGTGCATTGAACACGCGCAGCTAAAATGACATCAGGCGGAAATATCTAAATATGTTCAATAAGATAAGTCCAACAAATAGCAACAACAGTCGATCAGCACGTCATATTCTCTTCTGAATTGAAATTGAACAATAGTCGTCCACTCAAATATTTGCCTGCAATTCGTTTGATGTGGAGGAACTATCTGGGCGCGCTGGAGACAAAGTCGCCGAAACGGTTGAATACAACCCAAGGGTCCACTTTTTATCGAATGATCAAACTGTGGAAATCTCGATCTCGTTGATATTGGAGGAGGGAAATCGCTGACTCCCTCCGTGGCTTCGTGCTGCTGCGGTAGGCGTGCACGTTTTTACACCGTACTTGTTGCTGTGTGAAACTTTTCGAGAAGCCAAAGAAAAAGTTGCCAAGTTGGCGTCGATAGTTGCCGTGTAAGAGCGCGTTCCGTGCAGCGTGTGTGTTAGCCGCATTTGAGTCTTGGTGCGATTGGGGCTGCGACTCGCCACCATTTTGACTCACGTTTCAATCGTTGACATCCCTCGATTGAAAGTGACAATGTCCAAAACAATTGATGGCAATTCACTTGCCGGTGGGTCCTTATCTGTCGGAAAAGCGGCAAAAATGTCAACAGAAAGAAAGGCCACATCACATGTTTATAGCAGCCAGGTCTCTCCGGTCTGCTTTCGTGGCCGCTTCCAGAAATAGTTTTACCGTTGGGAGGCTGACACGGGAGCATTTGGGCAATTTCAAGTTCAATGAGGGCCTCATGTTCACATCGCAGCTCAACTGCCATATTATGATTTATTTTTTATTTTTTTTGCCGCTACGCCACGCGTCTCATGCCGTGCCAGCGGAACAATTGCAATTTTTTTGCAAATCTCACCCAGGCCTCTTTCGTACGTGGATAGAAATCGGATCGTTTGCCGTTTGAGGGCTCAACCGTACACCTCCGAGCACGTCCGCGTGAAAGGCCAAATGGAAAGCCTTCGCTTGATGACGTCTTTCGCTGACGTCTCCGTGAATCGAGGAGCATCGTCTCATTTCTCAAAAACGTTTCCAACTTCCTCCCGCCTTGCTCCTCCGCCAGTTTGCTTTTGGCCACGCTGTGTCGCGTGGCATAGTTTTTTGTTCTTGCTGTTGTTGTTAGTTTTTTTTTTTTTTTTTTTGCGCGTGCCAACAACTCCCATTTCCTTTTGCGGTGCAAGTCGGTAGGATTTCAGGCTAAATCTGTCGCGGGCGTGAACGATTGAGCGCGTGTTGTTGATTCATCGAGTCATTGTGGCACCTTCATGTGTGATTGGCAGGTGAGCAGTCCTGACTGACCCTGCCTTTCGCAACAAGTCACATTGCATACAGGCGCATGCACGTAGTACATACTCACACACACACATTTGATGTCACTTCTTAGCATGTTGGCAACATGAACAACAAAGCAGCTGACTGACACGTGTTAACATCATGGTGTCTGTGTGTGTGTGTCTCTGCGCGTGCGTCTGTGCGTGTGTGAGTTGGGAAAGTGTAGTTTAGGCCGGAACTTTCTGTGGCTGCAGGGAGCCTTTTAGCGCCTCACATTCCAAACTGAGGGGGAGGTGTGTGTGTGTGTGTGTGTGCGTGTGTGGTGAGCAGTGTGTCAACATACACACAACCAGATGTTGTTACCTGCGAAAGTGTATGTGTCTGCGTGTGTGTGTGTGTGTGTGTGTGTGTGTGTGTCTGTGTGTGTGCGTGTGTGTGTGTGTGTGTGTTGGGGGGCGGGGGCAGGGGAAGCAAAATAAGGCCACGTAGTCTTCCTCGATGTTGTCTTGTGAAAAGTTTCTCCAAGTTTCAGGCCACTTCCTTCCCGCGCGTCCTTTTTTGATGCCCGCGTGTGACTTGTCGCCGTGTCGGCAGGCGCTTTGCTGCGTTTCAACGGCTTCTCGCTGGTTTACGTGCTCCTGCTGCTCCTGCTGCCCCTGCTGCCCCAACCCGGCGCCACCTCCCTCAACGCAGGTACCGCCGCCCTCGTGCCGCACCCCCAAGGGGCGGAGTCACACAGCGGCTCCCGCCTTTCATCCCACCAATCTGCAATCATCGTAGCAAGAGGCCCGCCATCTTTCTTACATTCACGTGCAGCCATTTTTCCCCCTCACAGTGCTTGCTAAAAATGTCTCTCTCTCTCTCTCTTGTTGAATCATTGCTTGAATGTTTCAGCTCAGACAAAGGTAGCCTTCTAGGGCAACAGAAAAGCCCCTTGTTAGTTAGTTTTTTTCACGGTGATCGGATTTATGAAGGGAACTTGTCGCAGCTGAAAGGTGAACTCCCGACGACCGCATGTTGCTCGGCAAAGTGGCGCAGGCCTGTCCCAGTTGCCCGAGGTGCAGAAATCGTTTTCGGGCCAATGAAGTGAAGCGACGTCGTTTGATGACGCTGTTGCAAAATCACGGACCCCGAGGGTCAAAGGTCAAAGTGGGTGTCATCGCTCTCCTAGGCAGCAGCAATCGCTGCGTGACGGCAGTTTGCGTGTCCAGTTTCCTCTTCCTGCTGCTGCAGACTTTCTTCCAGATCACCACCGCCACCCTCGCACCCGAGTACAACTGTAAGACGCGCCCGCCCGCTTCGCGCCCGTCTGTCTGCTCGTTCGCTCTGTCTCATGCACGCACGCCCGTCCGTCTGTCTTTGTGTTTGCAGGCACCTCCTGGCAGAAGGCGCTGAGTCAGCTGGGCTTAGTCAGGTGAAAAAGCGTGCCGTTTTTCCGTCCGAGCGACCACGGGCGTGACGAGCGTGCTGGACGCGTGGCGTCGTTTGCACGGTCGTGTCGCAAGTGTGAATTTTCCTCAGCTGCGTTTGTGTTGAATGCCAATCAGTCTGACGGGAAGCGACGCGGCGTCCGCCGTGCGACACGTCCTTCCAGACGTCGGCGTGCTCGCGGTCGGCCTGCTGACGTGGAGACTGAGCCTGAGGTTGAGCCCTGAAGCACGCTCGCAGGTCGCGACAAACGCACGCACGCATACAAACCAAGCGCCTGATAAGTCATCTCCTCTCCTTTCTTGATGAGATTTCTTGCGTATTATTGTGTAACCCTGTAGGCCATTTGTAAGTGTAACCTTGTTATGTGACACACACACACACACACTAATGATCTGACTCCCAGTTGAATGCGCTTGTGCGCCGTCTGCCCGCTGGAGTCGGTTTTCATGAGAGCGGATGCGCTCTTCGGCACTCGTGGTCGTTTCTCACTGCCCATTTTGTACGAGGGGCTCGCGGCGGGGGCACCGGGCATCCCGCCGGCTTATTCGCGGCCTCTCGCCGGCATGACTTTCAAGCGTGGATCGAGGAGGCCCGTTGACGCTCTGCGTCCTCGCAGGTCTTGCGCGAAGAAGGCGAGGGAACCGCCGGCCACAGAATGGCAATCGAACTGGAACAAGTGCTCAGCAAGACCAGGAGGACGCTGGCAAACGTGATGACCGGCGGAGGGAAAGTTCTGCTCACGGTTTTGCTCGGGCTCACAGGTAAAACCCGTAAAAGCGCACGGACTTTGTCGTTTTCCGCCTTACCTTGCTGCCCCTTTGAGCAAGCGCATTGCAGCCGCAAGCAAACGAGGCCTTGCGCCCAAAAGTTCTTGCCACAAAATTGCCCCGTTTGCAGACGCGATGAGTCACGCGTCCTTTGACGTGCCCTGCGAAAGACTGCCAATCGGCGCAGGGTGCCGTCTGCACTCCCCCCCCATGCCTCGGATGCATGCGTGGATGGATGGTGGAACTCCCGCCTTGACATTTCAGCAACCGGAATCATTTCCGTAGCATTTCGCAGCCTCCCCGCCGGCACGTTGTCGGAAGAGCGCTAACGAGCAGAGGCCTCTGTGTCCCTCGCAGGTGTGGTGCTGCCGTCGCTCTCCTCCCTGCCCTACCTGCTTTCTTTTCAGCTCGTGTGCACTTGGTGGGCTTGGAGCGGTTCGCTCCCGCCGCTGCTCTTCAGGGCCCTCTCGCCGATGTCGCTCGCGTACTCTGGCGCCCACTTCCTGCTCGTCTACAGCTACCAGCTGCCGTCGCTGCAGGAGGCGTGGCCTCCCAGCCATCCCTCTGCCAGGTAAGGCGCGCGCGAAAGCGGAGCCGAGGACGGGCCCAAAGGCGGTACTTCGTCGGGACTTGCGTCGCGTCAACGTTTGCCGTCGGGAAAAGCTCATCGTCCGACGGCCGCGGGGGCGGCCGATGTTTTTGGAATCATTTCAGGCCCTCGTGGCCCCTTGAAACACGCCTCCACTTATTAAAGGACACGCTTGAAAGTATTCCGTTGCAGTTGTTTTCAAGAAACTGCAGACTGTCGTCTAACATCACTTTGAGGAAACCAAAAGATGACGGCGCTCCAAATAAGGTGCAAAGGTGTCCGTTTGTCCCTCCCACCCGGCAGCATGGAAGACAAAAGACGTAGTCAAGTTCAACGTTGGGCCAAACCGGTGCTTCATCAACGGCCGCGAGCTTAATGCTAACCTGCAAAGTGAAACGCCGCAGGCGGTCATCGTAAACTTTCCAACGAGTGCCGCTTGAACACCGACGTCGCGGCATCGCATACGGGCAATGCTCGCAGCCGTACCTTCTCTCTGCTGCTCGGCGGGAAAAATGAATGTTACTGCGGATCAGGGACCACGGAGGGACTGGTTTCTCTCCCGGGGCTTGACCGATACGTAGGGAGGGGGGGGGCTGTGATGAGGATCTTTCAAGATCTGGTAGAATAGCCAAATGAAAACGCTGAACCGCAACTTTCTAACGGGCTACATTGTCCCGATCACGCCCCGAGGCCTGACCTCTCACCCTTAAGCGCTCACAACACACCGACGGCCGCCGACATGATGATGACTAACCGACGGATGGCTTGATTGCGGCGCAGCTTGTTCGGCCTGGTGCCCCTGGTGTCGGCGGACTGCGCCGCTCCCTGGAGGATGCGCGTCAACCCGCGGCTCGGCTGGTTCCACTTCGTCAGCCCTCTGACGCTCGTGACGCTCTACCACGTCGTGGCCGGCTTGCGGAGGAATCAGGTGATCGCGCGCAAAGCGGACAAAGGCAAAGAAGGACATGGAGTGATGTCAGGAAAGGAGGAAACTCCGTACATTAGGGCCACTGTCATGAAAGGCAGACGGGGATGGTCGGCTGCTATTGGCCGAGAGGTAGCGCGTGATTGTCGGTCTTGTTGTTGTTCTTCAGCTGCTGGAAGGCGGAGGGCCGCAGTGGACAGACCAAAGGGACTCTTTGGACTCCGGCAGCTGCGACATCAGCAGCGACGTGATGGCCACCGCCGACGAGGTCCTCAGCGACGAGGTCATCGGCGACGAGGTCATCGGCGACGAGGTCATCGATGTCGACGTCAAAAGTGCCGTCACAGCAGAGAGGCGAAGAGAGCTGTGGAGAACCGCCCATGGCACGCGCAGCGACAGAGATGTACATTCCGGGACGGGAACTGAATTCTCATTCTTTCGACGAGCCCAACGCGTCTGAGCCGCTGTCTGTGGCGCTTTCAGCCTTGGGATTCTTCTGCCCCGGATAGCCGCTCGGAGTCTCCGGCCCCGCCCGCGCACGGCACGGCCCCGGAGCCGGACGCGCCTCACTACTCCTTCAGCCGATCAGGTGAACGCGAGCGGCGGCCGTTCCGTTCGGGGAAGCGCGAGGTCCGGAACGGAGTTTGAGGAACAAAAGTGCGTGGGAACGACAACGTTCGAACCGGGCGCCAAAGGGCCCGAGTTCCAGATTGCCAGGATGTCACGACGACGTTGGCCTCGTGTCTTGGGCGCGAGACCAAACGAGCCTTCGTGACATCCGGGGCCGTGCGCAAAACAAGGCGGCTGCCCGTGGCTCCGATCTGCGACGCGGGGCGTATTCGTGTCGCCGTCCGTCGGCGTCGACGTGACTGCGCTCGCGGAGGGTAGCCGAGATCATCGCGCTTCACCAAAACTGCCGCGGTCGCTAAAATTGAAAAATAACAACGAGAACGCTTTGAAAGAAATGGAAGCTCCCCGAAAGTACACGTTAAAAAACAAGGCGGCTGCCCGTGGCTCCGATCTGCGACGCGGGGTGTATTCGCGTCGCCGTCAACGTGACTGCGCTCGCGGAGGGTAGCCGAGATCATCGCGCTTCACCAAAACTGCCGCGGTCGCTAAAATTGAAAAATAACAACGAGAACGCTTTGAAAGAAATGGAAGCTCCCCGAAAGTACACGTTAAGTGAACGGGGCGCACTAAAAGCAGTCCCACTGATACTCTCGGTCTTCGTCTCGGTCAACCGATGTCACTTGGTGTCTTTCCTTCGGTACGTCTGCCCCTCCGTCGAGGAGAAGGGGAGGAAGGCCCCGCGGTTGCTCCAGAATTGTACCAGTCGCTTACTTTGACATGATGACTCGGCCTTGTTGGTTATCTCGCCATGAACAAATGCGGCGCGCGTTAAGAAAACTAAAAGGACCGCTCCAACCAATCCAAACTACGGTCCACTAAAACAAAGCGTTTTGGGAAGAAACGAGAAAAAAGAAACCTCGCCATGAAGGTGAATTGAAAACCAAACAAGCCAAAAGGGCCGATCGTGACAAATCCCGGCACGCCGACGAGCGAGCGGTCGGCGCGTCCGCCCCCTCGCACTTCTGAGCTCGTGCTTTTGACTCTTGCGCCAACCTTGCCGTGTTTTGTCTTTCCGCACTTCCGTTGGAAAACGGTCACATTTGCAGCAGAAGAGGGATTGGCGTATCGCGACACCAGCGCGGTACTCGCGGCGTCGGAAACCGTTGACGCGCGTCCAAATGGAGCGAGCGGCACGAATGGAGTCCGACACGGAACGGAGCGAGCCCTGAACTCATCCGACTTTCCTCCTCCCGTCCGTGCGGCAGACACGTTGGAGACGTGCGCGTTTGAAGGCGACGCGGCGGGATGGGGCGGCGAGGACGCAGCGGCGCGAGGAGGATCCGGCGCGGCGTCCGCGGCCTTCGGCTTCCTGCTGAAGCAGAGCTACATCGGCGCGCTGGTGGCCATGATGGCCTGGTCCATCACGTACGTGTCGTGGCTGACGTGCGCGCTGCTGCTGTGGTCGTGCACGCTGTGGATGATGCGCGAGCGCCGGCGCTACACGCTGGCGTCCTCGCCCTGGTTGGTGGCCTACGGCAATCTGCTGCTGGTCCTGCAGTACGTCTTCAGCTTCGCCGCCGTCCGCCAGCTTCCCGGGCTCTTTCCCAAAAAGGACGATCCCTGCCGGGAGCTCGCGTCAAAGGTACGGGCACGACCTCGCCGCCGCTCTTTTCCAAGCCGCTTTTCCCACCCCGGCTCGGACGTGGCGCTGTCCGACGAACGTCTCGATGATCGCGCGATTCCCCTGATACGATCGAAGCCTCCGGTGCCAGAGGCAGCAAAGCGGCCCCGCGGCGGCAGCAGGATGGAACCCCCGCCCCAACTGTCGGGAGGGGCTTCTTTTCCTTCTCATCTCGCCTGCGCCGTCTGCGAACGAACCGTCGGCGCTCTATTTTGGTTTCACGCGTCCACAGAACGTTTGCCCGGAGGCGACGTGGCTCGGCAAAGCTTTGTCGTTCCTTTTTAGGTCCTCGCCTCAGGAACGGCGTCACTCACGAAGCCCCGCTCGGTTGGGTGTGCGGCGAGCGCTACTTGTCGGAAGCGTGATCCCTCGCTGTTCTAGGCCCACCTTGGAAGACTTGCGTCATGGATATTTCTCTCGCCCCTACGCCCAGGCAGGTTCCGGATCGTTCCACGTCTCTTCATCACATGAGGCAGCGTTGAAACGGAGAGCCCAAGGTTTTTGGAGATGGCTCCGTACACTTTGGAAGTTCTCGTGTTGGCGCCTGACGGCGCTTCTGACGTCCTCAGACAGCTGCCTCCTTTTCACCGTTGTGACAAAGGGGGAGAACGGGCCGGGCCGCCTTTTAAAACGCCAAAGTCAATATTTTGTCACCTGGCTACGTACGGGCCATGTCGAAAAGGTGACTCTCATTTGTGATGGAGCAAGGCCGGTCACAATTTGTTCGCGTCCCATAATAATGGTGAGCTGAACCGTATTTTACCTTCTGACGTCCTCAGACAGCTGCCGCCTTTTCACCATTGTGACAAAGGGGGAGAACGCGCCGGGCCGCCTTTTAAAACGCCAAAGTCAATATTTTGTCACCTGGCTACGTACGGGCCATTTCGAAAAGGTGATTGTCATTTGTGATCGAGCAAGGCCGGTCACAATTTGTCCGCGTCCCATAATAATGGTGAGCTGAACCGTATTTTCCATTGGACCGCAACATGGCGGGTCCCCAAGAAACCAAAACAAGATCACGGCGGTGTGGGACATTGGCATGTTGCAGGAATGTTCTCCAAATGATCATTGGAAAACGTGAACGCCGACGGGGACTGATAGGAAGGGAATGCCGCACGTGGATATTGATCCGTGTCCTGATTGTGACAAATCATGAAACCGAAACCATCAGGTTTGACATTGCGGCACGATTGAGGAGCCAAACGCAGGGAAGCGGGGAGCTGAGGCGAAACCGAAACCTGATCTGTGACATTGCGGCACGGTTGAGGAGCCAAACGCAGGGAAGCGGGGAGCTGAGGCCAACGACAAAGCGAAACGGCAAACTTGTAGGGTGACGAGCGCACGGTGACGTTTGGCGGTGCTTTCGGCAGCTGGTGTGTCTGCTGACCTTCTGGCTGCTGCTGCGTCAGGCTCGTACGGAGAAGACCGAGCGACAGGAAGGCGGACGGGCGAAATCTCGGCCGCCC